TCTTTGGAGGTAGATTTCGTTCCAGAAATGTTCTTTTCGGCATTTTGGAAATTTTTTAAATCGCTTGACTAGCAAGCCAAGCCTTGTTTTTATTTGCGTATTTCAAGGTTTTGGAAATGAAATTTTGTTTCAAAAACATCCTTTTGGAGCAAAATAAAATGTCTTTTAGGTCACTTTTTTAGTGACTAACTCACTCTACTTGTGCCCAATTCACTCACGAATCAAACATAGGGACGCCAACGCAACCCCATATTTCCCAGCTGTTTCCAGGCGAATTACTGTTCCTTAATCGCTATTTTAAAGCAAAATTAAATATCCTTCAGACACTCTTTGCATTTTTTGACTCACTCAACTCGTGCCCAATTCACAGTCAAACGAAAATTATTCAGCCTTGATTAATTGCGCCAATGCGACCTCGATTTAGTTTTCCTCTTTCTCAGCTGTCTGCAGATGAATTATTTGTGTTCCTAAAACGCGTTTTTTGGAGCAAAGTTAAGCGTTTTTCACTCACTCTTAGCCTTTAAAATCATTCAATCAGTGTCCAATTCACAGGCAAATAAAAAATACTCAAACTGTTTTAACTTGCGTAACCTCAAGTGCTTTGCACCTAGCATTTGTTCCCAAAACGTCCGTTGGGGGCAAAACAAAAGGCCTTTCACTCACTTTTTGAATGTTTAAAATCACTCAACAAATAATTGAAAAATATAATTGATTTGTTGCACCAACGCAGCATCATTCATGTGCGAGTTTCACAGCTGTTTGGCCCATGAGTTTCTGTTTCTAAAACGCTCATTTGGAACAGAATTCAATGTTTTCAGTCACTTTTCGAATGTCAATTCACAGACAAATGAAAAATTGTCGACCCAAACTAGTTTTTTGAGCTGTTTTCCTTTGGGAATTTCCCAGCTGTCTTCGGATGAATTTGTGTTTCTAAAACGCACCTTTGGAGCAAAGTTCTTTCAGTCGCTTTTGAAATATTTAAAATCACGAAACTTGTGCCCAAACCACAGGCAAATGAAAACTATTATGTAATATAAACGAATCAAATCAAATCGGACAACAAACAACAAGAAGAATTGATAAAAATGGATCGACAAGTTTCTGGGCTTGTAATAGAAAGAGGCTTTGTTTAGGCCTAGTTTCTTCGTCCTACTGTTTCGTTTCTATTATGTCATTGAATAATGAAGATTTTTCTCATTTTTTCAATACTTTCTGTCCATTGTCTTAAATGCACTCTCTACTATGAGCTGATCGTTTTATTGCCGTATTTACCGGAAAATGTATTTTATAGCTATTCGAATCCGATCAGAATACAGTTGATTTTACCATAAATTCGTCAAACATTTTTTTTAATTAATAAAAAAAAGAAACTTGATAAGAATCATGCAGTTTAAAGAAAAGGGGACTTTTGCCCATTGCAATATCAAAATGATTCACCTTCAAATTCACATTTCCACATGGAAATACTGTTGAAGCCTGTGTAGGTCACAAATGAGTTTGCCGAATCTCTATGGATAGATTTATAATAATAATAATAATAAACAAAAAATCTACAATAAATAGAAAAAAGTTGATTTTCCCAATAAAACTTCAAGGTGTAGGCGGGCGCGAGCGATTCGTTGCATGTTAAGTAAAATTCGACTCGTTAAATGCCAATGAAACATTATTTTTCTACTGGCTTTTACGATTTACAAATAAGCCCCATCGCGTAAATAAACACTACGGCCTTTCAGGATTTCAGCAGCTGTTTGCCTAACTGGAAAAAGTGCCGATGAAAAGCTTTCGCAATGTTTCCATAAAATGGAAAATCGGCCTCAGCGACGCGGAAGGCACGAAGTTTAGCGAGAAAAATCGTCACTTTTAACTATTTAAATAGCGCAAATTTTCTAAATGTATGTACCTCAGAAACGATTATTCATACATATTTCAGGAGAGGAGGRAAGACTTTACTTATGGGGAAATTTTAGTTATRATTATTTTCCCTGAAACAYACCGATTTYGGATTAATTSCGYCTGATTTTCAAAAATTAATTTTTCACGAACGTTTTTAGGTGRAAAAGCAYTTCYTGCACTTCTGGAAAGCGTGACATTTTGTAAATTATTGCCGAAAAGTTTACTCAAATAGCTGTTCTTTTAWCTTACTGACTAATTTCTGAACTGTGAGGTTCCTTTGGATTTTTCACTGACTATTTCGAAACTGATTTTTSAAARTTYATTACTCACASCCCRCCCCAGAKAGAAAGAAATTTCTACKGCACTGGAAAGGGGAAATAATCCACTTTTCTTGTCACAACTTTCCTTGAATTTTCTAATCCCAMGAATTGTKWAASTTGCAGACTGATTTGGTTAATGACGCTTTGCAAACTGATTTTCAAAAATTAATTTATCATTAAGCAGCCCAGAGTGAAAGTTGCCCCTAATTGCCAAAAAAGTTTACTTGAGTGCTTAGTTTTTCTGATTTTTTGCCAATTTCTACACTCTCACGTGCTATTGTACTTCTAAGTCGATTTAGACATAAAAGTGCTTGTGGGGACGCTGAAAAGAGTGCAATTTTCTCTATTAGAGGATCAACATTTGCCCGATTGGCTTCTCTGGTTGATTTTTGACGAATTTTCGAAAAACGCGTTTTAGGAACACAAATAATTCATCTGCAGACAGCTGAGAAAGAGGAAAACTAAATAGGGGTCGCATTGGCGCAATTAATCAAGGCTGAATAATTTTCGTCAAAAATCAACAATAGCAGAGGAACCAGACATTTTTTGTTAATAAAAGTTAGGCCAGATCGTCTTCTTTTGGTCCAAAGAATATCGCAGTACCCTTTTGATCATGAACTTACGGGACACCCTGTATAAAAGCGCTTGTTGAGCCACTAAAAAATCAATTTTTTTGCTTTATTATTGCAGAAAATTTCACTCTATTCACTGTTTTTGCTGATTTTTGACGAACTTCTTCACCTTAATGAAATGTGTTTTTTTTCTACCAACTTTTGAGTAAAAGCCAGTGAAAGTTAGCATTAACCGGCAACCCCAGCTTCCCTGCAGAAGACCAGATAAGTTGTAACGAAACCATCGCTCCTCAATTATCATAACTTGATTTGGTCTACAGCTCAATGCGTTCGCTGCGCGCGCAAAACTGGCCTACATTGTCTGACGTCATCAGTTGTGTAGATTTCAGTACTGAGGCCTTGTTCTGATGACGTTGAGCCGTTCTTTTCCTCATAACGTAATTATTCACGGCTTTTGACTGTTATTCTCTCAAACTAAGCCCCCTTCGGGTCTAATGATTACTATCCGATTCACATGACTTCTTTATCGAATTGTTCCGATGATAAGATAATAATGCGTAGACTAAATCACTTGTTTAGTGAGTAGCTGCGAACGGGGTTATCAGGAAATTAATTAATTGGGGAATTCGATAATTTCGGATGTTTTCGATGCATGTTTTTATGGGCTGCGCCCCTGAAACAAAGCTCCATTTCGATTCGGTTTAGACACACGTCAATTATCAGGAATGTTATTTCGGTGCGTCGAAATCGATGCCAATTAATTGACGAATAAATTATAGAACATTTACAGTGAAATACTTAGCGCTGGTCATAGCAATAAATAGTTACTCGAAAATTAATGGTTCGAAACTTTCAATATTTCCCAGTTAATACACTTTAATATCGGCTAAAATTAACCTCGGTCGTCAGCTGATTCGAGCTGACCGGTGCTAGATCACACTTAGGTGATTCTTCCCGTCGAGCTAAAAATATCGCTACCAATAGGCATAGTTTGGCAACCGCTTTCATCTGACCTCTCCGCGTTATTTGCCAGGCTCTCCTTTATTTTCTCGTCAATATTTACTCAAAAATCATTCATAATCCCGCGTGATGGCGACCCGAAATCTGTTTGATCACATTTTATCAATTTAATATTTATTTCACTATGTACCAGTGAAATTTTACGATCGCTTCCATCTCAGAAAACTGTCTTGAAATTGCAAACTTGCTAGTTCCAATGGTACCTAATTCATAGCGGTTTTGCTTCCATCCCTTTAGAGGTTAGGGCATTTCGAACCAAACGGTTTCGACCTTGAGCCGACGATACTTTCCTTATTAAACACCCACTATATGCATATTGAGCATTTTGTACAATCCAGCTTGTCGACAGATGAACTGCAAGTTCCAATCACGAATGAGTTTGCATCGGTTCCATAAAGATGGACAGAGACAGTTTTAGCAGTTTCGTCCTCTCCTATCAGAGGCTCAAACTGAAGCTTGAGGACTTTTTGACTTTACTGTCACCGGTATCAAATGTCTTTTGAGGTTAGTTTTTGAAGTTTTCCTGCGACTTGTCAGTGTATTTTCAACTGTTTCCGAGATCTGGCTTGTTTTGGCTTCGATTCCTTTAGAGGTTAGAAGTCACTGGTGCACGACAAATGGCAAACGACAGCTGCTGAGACGTTCTATCGACACAATCCTATCGATTATTCAGGTAGATGCAACCGTTTCCCCGATATTGATTAAAATAGACCAAAATTGGGCAAATTGCAGGTTAGAATTTTTCAGAGAAAAAAGATTCCACTTTCCACCTACTTTGGCTTTTTTCAGGTTAGAATTTAGCGTTCAAAATTCTCTTCCTGTGACTGATCAGGTGTTTCCAACTATTGCTGAGATTTGGGGTTTCAAACGGGAGGATCTTCAGGGGGCAGAGCCATGCTTGGCATATGTCCAAATAAAGCTTCTAATTTTAGGATAAATTTGGCCAGCTTGTTAACAAAACAGCCCACCATAGAATTTTGCAAGCCGGTCATTGGTCTTCAATCTGCAGCCTATCAATAGCCCATAAAGCAGTCAAAGCTGAGTGAATTCCCCGATAAAACCCATCACGAGCACCAGGCTGAAGTGGCCCATGTGCAAGTGGCGGCCCCAAAATAGATTTTCGCAATCTCCGCTCAAAATAGCCCGATTTTGATCCAAACATCGAGCAAATTTTTCAAAAAGCTCAAACACTTACCAGTTACATAATGGAGCAGTAGCGCGCATATCGGGTAGATGGCGGGACTGTAGACGATATCCGGACATGCGTAGCCCAGTACGCTGATAACGCGATCGGCGCACGCGCGCCCCGATCTTGTCAAATGGTAGGCGTGGCAACGGGATGGTTCGACAAAAGGCGGCAACCCGACGGGTCGCTCGGGCAGTTCCGCCGATCCAAACACCTGAACCACCATGTCCCAGTAGAATCCATCGCCCGACACTCCGCCAGCCTTGCCATGTTGCTTGCACAACAAAGGCCATAATTCTCTGAAACATAACCTCCAATCAGCAATTCATTATACTCCTGCGCGGTGCCGACCACTAACTTTCTGATCGGATGATTGGCAGGCCACGCGTTCGCCCTTAACAGTTGCTTCACCTCCTGGACCTTGCCGGATTGCAAGAGGGCGCGCACGTCGGCCAACATGCGCAATGGGCGTGCCGTCGGGCTGGGCGGAACRCTGACCACGCCCGTTGAATCCACTAGGGCGGTGAATGGGGCGGGGCCCGTTACCGAACCGTTGGGGGAACCGGGCGTGGTGGCGGGCCCGGCCGCTCCTTCGGCGATCAGCATGGCGGCGGGCGCAGCCTGCGAGGAAGCCGATTGGCCTATGTTAGGTCTTGGAACATCGTGAGGTCACCTGAAACAGCCAACGTCAGCAATTGTTCTTCAAAATTGACTTTTGGGAGGTTAGAAAATTGAGGGTACTGTCGTTGCAAGAGGTGCTTTATTTCAACTTCACTTCATAACCTCAGTTTTTATTGCTAGCAATAGCGGCTGGATGGTGGGAAACTTGGTAAAACGGTAAAACATTAGCCAATTTTCTTAGTGATTTTTTTGTGAATGATGCAGTTTTTATTAACTTCCCACTCACTGAAACCCACTACTTTTGCATAAGATAACAAAGGACGGCAAGAGGTCCGCRCCGTCTGTCAAATCGTTGACACGSTGACGCTATTCTAGAACATTTTGTGCATTTGCCAAATCTACACTTTGTGCASTGAGAGTGAGATTTMGATTGGATCGGTAGACTCYTTCTTCTTCACCCCCTGRTGAAAAGTACGTAGTTTCTCCACTGTTTTCGATAGCGRAAKAATMACATTTACCCMTTAGAATAACATAACAATGACAATTTACCTTTTCTCCCATTATTCAATTAMATKTTTCCTGATCCCCGGTGGAAAGTACGTAGTTTTGCCACTGTTTTCGATAGGAAATAATGACATTTACCCATTAGACTGACATGACAATGACAATTTACCTTTTCTCCCATTATTCATTGTAGGTACATGGTTATTGATTGAAGCAGTCAATTTCAATGAGTGAAGAAGACAGGAAAACATTTCCATATGGCGTCACCGCCAAATAGCTTGGGACAGATTGGATGCATTTTCCAGTTGAGAAACCGACCAGTTTCACAGGGAATTCGGCGCGAACTTGTCTTAAAACATGTTTGACACATGCTCTAGTAAAGTGCGCCCCAGTAAACCGTTAAAAGAAATGACATGACAAAATGCGCAAAAGATCCGAAAATAGGATGCATGTGGCATATGATGACGCCTGACGAATGCCGATGCACTTCAGCTGAGTTAGACCCAACGTTGCCGGACGTTTCAAAATGTCTAAAATATATCATTAACCTTCCCGACCTCTAGCTAGAAGTCGGGCTGTGCAGTGACAATAGTCAATTCACCACAGTGTCAATTTTCCATGAGGAAAAATCCACTTTGCCATGAACCAATTTATGTTATTCATTATTGATTACGTGATATTTCCTTAACATCTGACAATTGTTATCTAGTAACCGACCAACATGCTTGATTAATATTTACACCTAGATTAACTTTCAGAGGTCGATGGCTTTCATTTGTAAAACGAGCACGCGTTTGAACTTATTACTTTCCAACTCATTAAATCATCAATGTTTATTAATATTATTTGGGTAAATTCTAAAGTTTTTCTCAGTTAGTTATGGCTGTGAGGCTGCAGCTAGTTTATCTGCCTTTTACCCATCTGATCGATCAATCAATCATTTTAGCCAGGTTATTTATTGTGCAGATGTTATCGACAATTCCAATGATATAGAACATGTCGCTATTTATGGAGCTCACTAAATCACATTGCACTTAATGGATTTGGGAGACTTAGGGGAATTAGTCCACTTAAGTAGGCCTCTTCTCGCTAGCATTATAGAAACTTACCGAGTTTTTTCTCTTTACAGCAATTTTTCAACACCCTGTATTGTCCGACTTTTGATCATCTTAATTCCCCGATTGAAAATTTTATCGCCCTGTATAAATGTGAATTTTCGAACTGGTTCATGGCCTGACTAACCAGACTCTTCTGGAGTATTGATAGCTTGATTATAAAGTAGATTCTTTAAATAATCCCCAGCGTCGATCCAATAGGTTAAAATCAGGACTGGGTGCCGGCCAATTTAGCGGCTGAGTTTAAAGAGATAAATTCCGCAATCCACATTTAATAGCAAAATTCCAGATATCCCGAAACCGATTAGTGTTCGATATGTTTCCCACTTAATCAATCAACCGACATTTTCATTTTCATTGCATTGATTGTTGATTTGAAGTCGAAGTGAGCGCTGACTTCAAAATGGCACTTACAGAAAGTGAATTCTGACAGAAACTGCCGTTATAAACCCGCTTAAGTTACTTCAGTTTCTTTGAAATGCAGTTTGAAAATTTTGCACATCTGCGTCGACAACGTTTCGACTTTCAGTCAACAACAGGGATTTTTTGAGATTAAAAAAAAATTGTTTGTGGCATTTGAGGTTTGTTTGGCGGGGCAGAGTTTGGCATTTAATCGTTTAGGAACTCAGGAAGGGAGAAAATCGCTTTGGCAGGTACTTTGTAAGGCAAAGCCAGTTCTACAAGTGTAAAAAGTTTCAGTCATAATCAGGAAATTTTCAAAAATTTCCCAAAATTACGTCTAGTTTTCGTGACGATTTGCGCAGCCCGGAGTTTAGCGTTTAGCATTTAGTTCCAAGAAAATCAATTTTGGATGCATTTTGCAGTGCAAAGTCCTATTTATCAATGGACAACGTTTCGATTTTCAGTCAACATCAGGGATTTTTTGAGATTTTTTTTAAATTGTTTGTGGGTTTTGCGGGGCAGAGTTTGGCATTTAATCGTTTAGGAACTCAGAAAGGGAGAAAATAGCGTTGGCAGGTAATTTGTAAGGCAAAGCCAGTTTTACAGGTGTAAAAAGTTTAGACTTTCAGTCATCATCAGGAAATTTTAAAAATTTTCTCAAAATTAGGTCTGGTTTTCGCGGCGACTTGCGCAGGCCCGAGTTTAGCATTTACTTCCTGTGTAATTTGCAAAGAAAGAAAATCAATTTTGGATACATTTTGTGGGGGAAAGTCCTTTTTATCAATGGACAACGTTTCGATTTTCAGTCAACATCAGGCATTTTTCAGATTTTGAAAATTGTGTGTGCCTTTCGAGGTTCTTCTTGCAGGGCAGCGTTTGTCATTTATTTGCTCGGGAACCAACGCAGTGAGAGAATCGCTTTTGTAGGTATTTTTTAGGGCAAAGCCAGTGTGAAAAGCTTCGATTTTCAGTCATCAGGAAATTTTCAAAAATTTCCCAAAATTACGTCTGGTTTTCGTGGCGATTTGCGCAGGCCGGAGTTTGGCATTTCGGTCCTGTGAAATTTGCGAAGGAAGAAAATCAATTTTGGATCCATTTTGTAGGGCAAAGTCCTTTTTATCAATGGACAACGTTTCGATTTTCAGTCAACATCAGGCATTTTTCAGATTTTGAAAATTGTGTGTGCCTTTCGAGGTTGTTCTTGCAGGGCAGC